AAATGTATACATTGACTAGTGAGTTAACACTTTGATTGACATATACAAAAGTTAATATTCAATTCTTATCTATCAAAAAAAATCTTTTTATATATATATTTATATGTTTTATTTATCTAAAAAAATGCACTTCACATGTTAGAGTAAATTATATATTAATAAATAAAACGGTTTTATTTTTAATTAAATATCTTTCAATTAGATATTTAAATTTACCTGTGTGACTATAAGAAGCAGCGCACGCAATTTTGCAAAGTTTCTATTATGATCTAAAGGCCATGAACCGAGCGGCCACATTACTCGCTTATACAGAGAAAATTCGCGAGACATTTCTTTGTTCCATGTTTTACATGATGCCATTCTCGCATAAGGATTACGGTATCATCGAATGTAAGCACTAACTAACGCAGCTTATGCATTCATTCATTATTGATTGGAGCACATTTCACTATGCACCCCAATATTGAATAGTCCTGTGGTCTTGCACATTTGTAGCCATCACGCATGGCAGAAATGACTGTATTATATGTAATTCGGAAAAATGTAGGACAAATATGTGTCATTGGTCTAACAGCTTAATGATAAAGCATATGTCAGTTTCTCATATAGGGACCTTATCCTATTATATCTCACTGCAAAACTTTATCACGAAGAAATAAGTTTTTATTTTATATCATCTCGAAATTTGCGACTAGAGAATATTGAAGATCAGAGAGAAGTATATTTGCAAAGATAAATTTTACGAAGATATAGTAGAAAATCATAAGTAAATAATTCTTTGTATTAAAAATTCTTTTCTTAACTTTAATGTAAGATTTAATTGAAGTAAGTTGATTTATAAGCATAATTAAACTTTTTATTTTAAAATATTATTACAAAATATTCAAAATGTTATACTAATCAAAAGATATTTTTTTAGTGTCTTATAATATTATTTTTATAATAATAATAAGATACCTCACTAATTTAAAATGTTTGGAAAGATATAATTATACTAGAAATATATAACTAGAAAAATTATATTAAAAATATGCAGTTAATATTTTATATAATATCATCTAATTATTGTTCGAAATTGAGTTTGTATCAAGCATTAATTTTTTTATTCTTGCTCTAGATTTAAAACGTTCTAAATCGCTTAAAAATAACAACACTTGCCTAGACGTCAAATGATGATGTTTTTTTATTTCCAATGCTTCAGTAAAAAAAAACTCGCGAAATCAAGCTAAAGTCATTTGAAAACAGCTGACTGGTCACTAGCACAACTTTTATATCAATTGATCGCCTGCGAGAAGTGCAAGACAATAAACAATAGAAAATAACTAAATGGTTGTTTAACTATTCAGCTAATCGGTACTGTTTTAATTTATTTGCAGGGATTGGAAAACTCGGAAATATTCTTCTGAATAAGAGAGGAATAAAACTTTGAATCTATTCGATTAATTCACACTTACAACGTTCGTGAGTATCATTTGATCTTATGTAACATTTGAACAACAAAGATTCCAAAAGTAATCTCCTTATCACATCAAATCTTCTTTTCGATGATCGTTTCAATCAAGCTGACATTGATTTTGATTGCTGCACTATAAGTGTGCATTCGCGATTAAAACTATAAATAGCCATATACAATTATATAAATACAATTTTTTGTCAAGTGCATATCAATCTCGTCTTTCTTTTTTTTTTTAAATCAATATTTGCATCAACTGATTTGTTGTCCCATGTTACGATGTGAGCGTTTCTTTAAGTATACAATTTTTAAATTCATATTTCTTTAAAAAAATCTCTGTCTTGCCAAATCTTAAGCCAATTTAGAATTTCTGTAGAATTCTTTTATTTTACATTTTATATTTTATGTTTCTACCATTACTCGAAGTACTGACAGATATGTAATAGAAGCTTTTAGGATGCTCATGTAGGTTGATAAATTTACCACAATAAAATGTCCAGCTCGCAATGTTACGGGAGATTCTGACCGCATAATGACGAAAATTAAGTTTCTTGTCAAT